ATCAAAAAAGTAACCCTAACTGGATACTTTATACGTCACCTAATTTTAAGAGCCATGAGACGCAAAAATACTACGTATTCCTGATTATCGGCAATACCAATCTTGCTGGAAAAAAAATTTATTTGAGTACTGTTCCTGATAGGGTTCTAAAAACGAGCCCTAATCATAACTTTTTTTTCATTATATAGTATAGTATTTTGGAAGCCCTTTTTTATAACCCTATCAGGAACGGAATTTTTCCCACCCTATCAGGAACAGTACCGATGATCCATCAGGAACGGTATTTTTGCCCATGAGACATTTTTGTAATTTCGAAATTTTGTTTACACGGATTAGCCCGAAGTCAAAAAATAAAGAAACCGCATAAATTTAAAAACTGCAGTCTAAATCTGTCTCTGGGCATTAACAAAAAATTGTCGGGAAGGCAATTTTATATATACCTGCTCTAGTCCTAACCCCTAACCCTAATACTAAACTAGCCTTAAAACTTCGAAAAATAACGTGGGTACATGGCTTTAGTATACCTAATTTTAGTGATTCAACAGTTTACAAGTGTGAAATTGAACTTCCAAACTTATAAATTTCATTGACTAATCAGATTTCAACAAAAAATCAAAATAAACCAAAAAATCGTTCGTAACTTAACGTTTTGTCTATTAAACCTATCTCGATAACAACTAAACCAAATTTATTTTGATTCTGCAAAAGTACAGGAAAAAATTTTTACCGAATTTGGTCAAGTAGTATTATTATATGCAAACTTGACTCAAGTATCGACTCAAGGATCGACTCGAGTCCTGATCAAAGTCCCTATTTGAGGAGTCCGAATGGATAGGATCGGGCTTTTAGCAGCCCTAGCTAAATCCCATTTTGATATAAAATTTAAATAAGTACCACAAAGTAAATAGTAATGGATAATGTTTCTTGATAAGATTAGAATCAACTACAATTGTTACTTTGAGGCATTAAAAATTACTCGAGTTGAGTGCAGATCAAAACAACAGTCAAAGTAGTAATGCACCAGCGCACAACAATAATATGGTAATAGAAGAGAACAGGCATATCTGATATACTTAACTCATTGGTGCAAAAGACATAAGTAAACTAATTTAATGAATTACTGGTATGAGTTACACTAATGCAATCATTTCACCTGGACATACTGCAATAAAAAGACGAAGCAACTTGTGAAGGAACTGAAAGAGTGAATTCTTTCTTGTCCGACTCTTTTCTCCTAGTATAATTCTATATTTTAAAAGACTTATATAAATTGAATAACCTTTATTAATATATTTGTGCATATTACGATTGTGGCTAAAATTTTTTCAATTTTTTCTCCTAATCGTGATATGCAATTATGTATTCATAAAGAGTTATTATATTAAAGTAAAACTTACAGGATATACGTATTTTGATCAGTTTAACAACTTTACTTAATTTATAAATAATATTTTTCATAGTAAAATTTCGACTTTACTATGTAGCAACTATTAACGATCTGAAAAAAAACTCGCACACTGTAGTTGCTTTTCACTTATTATATGTATTTCGATATAACTTTTAGGTTTAAATTGTTACATCTTAATGGATGCAAAATTAGATAATACGTAAAATCTGTACTAGTAATTTTTATTATAATACCTTATATAGACTTAATCATTTAATATATGAAGTACCCAATATCATATGCAGTAATGTTAAATTCAAACGATGTAAATTGCATCTAATATTATTCACAGAACATTATAAAGGGATTCATTATGCTATAAGGATTAATTGTATCATGTTTTCTTATTAGTAATTTTTTTATGGCTATTACCATATATCATCAAAATTATCATTACTGAGATTAGCTATTGACCTTCGTATAACATTTGCTACTAAAAAAGAATTTATCAAAAAATTTCTTGCGTTAAATCAGACCCCAAAATTCCAAAAAAGCTTCTCCACACATCCCGAAAAAATCTTGTTGCTGTTCAGCACTGACCACAGTACCTTGAATAAAATACAACGTACTGACAAAATTTGTATAATACCCGGACTGTAATGCTATACTAACGATTTTCATAAGTATATTTTTTTTCATAAACAATTTTTTTTTTTTTTACATATGATATATCTCGGATCGGATTCCACCATGAAATTTTTTAATTGGATTCTTTGCACGGAGCACCGTGATCAGCGCTATACGATAGAAAATAAAAATAGACAAGCCCAAACTTTTAATATTTTTTATTTCACATCAAGTTTCCAAAAATTGTAAACAATAGGTTGGACGTTTGGAATTAAATAAGAAGAAAAGATATTAATCAATTGAAAACTTGGAGCTACCTCATGGAAAACTATATTATAATATATTGTAAGTTTTTATCACTGAGCTAACAATTAATATTATTTTACAGTAATACTAAGCTATCGTATTAAATTTTATCGATTCATTTGGAATATTAATATTAACCACATTAAATTATTATAAACCAATGGATTATATTGCAAGAGATCCAAAAATACAGTCCTACCTCTCTAAGTGCACACCCTTGGGACAAATTTTTTAAAATGTTTTTACAATGTTTCTATATATTTTGAGATCATGCATAGTGTTCATTTATAGAGAATTACATGGTGTGCGCATTTGTTGAGGGTTCAATTATGGAGGTTTGACAGTATATACAATGCCAAAACCAAACCTAACATATATATTATAATTTAGTAAATTATGAATCATTTAAAATATTGATTTATAAGTTTATGGAAGAAGATAAAGGTTTAGAGAAGATAAAGAATTTGGATCTTTAGTTCTGGTAGGAGTTATATAATTAGATCCAGATGTCAAGTCTAGAACGGAAAAAAAATCATTTGACAATCGACCGAACAAATTGTGAAAATTTTGAATCAATAGTGAAAATTATGAAAAATAGAAGAGAAGGCAGTCTAAACCTTTCTGAGGTATTAATTAAATGCCAGCAAGGCAATTTGCCTATATAAACACACTTAATTCTAATCTAACCTATCCTAAAGTAGCCCTAACCCTAAAGTTAAATTAATTTATATGAGATATCTTCGATTTAGACGTCTCTTAGTTATTACTAAACTCGGTTGTAGTTGGCTGTGTACGACTACTGGTATGAATTTGGCTTAAGCGGCTTCAGATGGTGTTGAATGGTGATGATGGGTAGTATGGGTTGTTGAATGGTGTTGATGAGGAGTATGAGTTGTTGTATGGTGATGATGATGATGATGGTGATGATGATGATGGGTAGTATGGGTTGTTGAATGGTGTTGATGAGGAGTATGAGTTGTTGTATGGTGATGATGGGGAGGTTTACTTGTTGAATGGTGATGATGGGGATGTTTGCTTGTTGCATGTGGTTTATGAGATGTTGGATTGTTAGTTCCGGTTGCAGGTGTAGTGTTATTTGGATCGTTAGTTCCGGTTGGAGCAGGTGCAGATAAATTTGGATCGTTAGTTCCGGTTGGAGCAGGTGCAGATAAATTTGGATCGTTAGTTCCAGTTGGAGCAGGTGCAGCAGGTGCAGATAAATTTGGATCGTTAGTTCCGGTTGGAGGAGGTGCAGATAAATTTGGATCGTTAGTTCCAGTTGGAGCAGGTGCAGCAGGTGCAGATAAATTTGGATCGTTAGTTC